GATATTTATTGATTCGACGTATTAAATTAATTATTATTTTATTATTCTATGAGAACTAATTCTTATTAAAAGTTTAGTTTGACAAAAACTGCATTCAACATTAGCTTAGTAAAAATAATAATATGTAGTGCGCTTTGTTTTTTCTTAAATATGATGTGGAGTTTTGATTTAAATATTATAAAAAAATATTGAGATATTTTATTTTATTTATTTATTTATTTTGGCTACATATAGACTTCTCAAGTTGAAATGCAATAAGGGACCTAATTCATTTTTTGTTAGAAATTAACGACATAAATATTATTTGAATAATGTTCGACATCTTCTAGTATTACATGGTAGGTTGAAATGATTAGGTTTAAAAGAAACTAACTCAAGGCATACACTCAATTATTTTTATACAAATTAACTTTGACTTTATATGGCTCATAATAGTCGTAATTTGCTAAATATACTGATTGCTCATTTTTCAGAGAAATTTTTCTAAATTTATTTTGAAAAAGTATGCCTCCACTTAACAGTAGAGTGGGAGAGAGAGAGCATTTTCAAGAAGATCATCATTTTAGTATTATTTTTTACTAATTTTAAAGCAGCTTTCCAGTGCAAAATTTTTTTTGACAATAGCAAAAAACCTGATGTCAATATTTTTGAATTGGAAGTTGAAAGGATATTTCATCTTGGGAAGAAAATTTTTGTGTTATTTGATGTTAAATTTTAAAATGCATAAAAAATATTACTCTTTATTATTGAAAATTAAAATGTCTAAAAATATTATTCTTTGATATTAAAATATTATTTGTATATTAAAAAAAACTTTACTAAATCAACACATAAGACAAAATAAATTAAAATAAGCAATTTTATTTATTTAAAATATGTATTAAATTTTTTATAATATAGGTATTGTCATCACTCAAAAATCAGAGCCCAACCTTGCAGGTGACCATTTCCCGCTGGAGTTCTTTCTCTTCCGATCTCTGTTTCTCTTGCCGTTCAGTTGTTCTGCCCTCACAACCTCGATCGTCGGTGCCATGGCGGAATTAGTTGTAGGTCCAATCATGGAGAAGATCATCAACGCTTGCTCTGATTACCTGGAAGGTCAAGTCGGATGGCAGACGGGCATGAAGGAGGAGCTGGAAAGGCTGCGAGAGAACCACCCGAAGATCCAAGCTGTCGTCTTTGCCGCTAACCAAGCACAAATCAGCGATCAGAACCCTGCTTTCAACAAATGGATATGGCAGCTGCGAGATGCTATTGATGAGGCAGATGATGTGCTCGATGAGTTGAAGTACATGAAGCATAAACAAGAGCTCTGCAAAAACACGAAAGAAACAAAGGTGTGTTCTGCCACTTGATTCCGCTCGCGAATATATTTATTTATTTATTTGATAATCTATTAGAAAAGAAAGCTCATGAGCTTCCTATTTGAAATTCCTACTTGAAAAACAGCTGACCAAAAACAAGAAGCTGAGAAAGGTGCGTTCCATAATGAAATCCATCAAGAAAAGACTTGTCAAAATTGACAAACGTGCTCTCAAAGAGGACCCCAACTTGAATCGACTGGAGGAGGCTGTGCAGAAACTTGATAAAGTTTCGGCTGATGTTACTACTTACCTTCATCTTTTAGACAGTGCGAAGCAGGAACAGAAGGAGCAGGAGGTTGATTTCTACGAAGCACGTGAAACAGGATCCTTGCCTACTACAAATGATCTTATTGGGCGGGGCAACGATAAGGAGTCTGTTGTGCAGTGGTTGAGGAAGCCATCAAATGAGCATCAGGGAACTGATTTGTACAGAAACATTACTATTCTATCTATAGTGGGCCATGGTGGTATGGGGAAGACAACTCTCTTGCAACATGTTTATAAAGATGAAATTACAAAGGAATTTGATCTTAAAATGTGGGTTTGTGTTTCCAACAACTTTGATGTGAAAAAAGTCATTGCAGATATGTTGGAATGTCTTAAGAAGGAGAGGCCTCGTTTGGAGACACTTGTGGGACTTCAAAGGCGTGTCGAGGAGGAGGTGATGTCCAAAAAGTTCTTACTTGTGCTGGATGATATTTGGGAGGAGGATGAGGAGAAGGATAAAAGCAAATGGGAAGATGTGCTCGCCCCTCTAGCTTCTGGTGGTTTTGGTAGTAAGATTCTGGTAACAACTCGAACGTACTCAGTTGCTTTGATGTTTGCAAACTTAATTAAAAAGGAGAAAATAGTTAAATTAGAGGGTCTAGATGAAGATGATTGTTTGCAGCTCCTCAACTCTCATGCATTTGCTGGTGTAGAGAACTCCCCTGATAATGATCATGAAAATTTAAGAGTCATTGCTCGAGATATAGTTAAAAAGCTTTCAACATCTCCGTTGGCAGCTAAGGTCATTGGTGGTGTTCTGAATTACAACTTGGATGAAAGGCATTGGAGGACAGTTCTAGAAAGCAATTTATTGGATCAAAATTCTATCCATTCCATCTTAAGACTGAGCTATATGGTTCTGTCAAATCCTTTAAAAAGTTGTTTCGCATTTTGCGGCATGTTCGCACAAGACCATGAGTTTGATAAACATGATTTAATCCGAATGTGGATTGCATTGGGTTTCATTCAGCCATCTCTTGATCAAGAAGAGACTATGGAGGATATCGGAGAAAGGTATTTTGATGTTTTGGTTAAAAAATCTTTCTTTGACAAGTTCTACAAGTATGGAGGCTACAAAAATTTGTCATACTACAAGATGCATGATTTACTACATAAATTGGCGCAGTCAATTTTCGTACAAGAATGTTTAAGGGTTGAGGATGATACAAAGTTGCCTTCTAAAATTCCTGAGACTCTTCGACACTTATCTGTTCAAACTACAAATCTAAACGTCTTAAGAAAGATTGAGAAATTTAAACATTTGCATTCTCTTTTCTTGTTAGATGAAGATTCTAATCAAGATCTTTGCAGTGCACTCATTGAAATAGTTAAAGCATCAAGATGCCTGCGCTTATTATACATACGTATTGATCGATTGAAAACGATACCTGAGGAGATTAGATATTTGAAACATCTTCGATATTTGAAGATCGAAAGAGCTTATGTCACTATGCTACCAAGATCTCTAAGTAATCTCTATCACTTGCAATTCTTAATCTCTAATGGATATATGTCAAGCCCACCTGCAGCTGATTTTTTACCCGATAACATTAATAACCTTTCTAACTTGCATTACTTGGAATTGTCTGGGAATTATATGTCATCGATATGTGGGATTGGGAAGCTAAACTCTCTTCAAGAACTGGATATGTTTCGTCTTAGAAATGAGATGGGTTATAGAATTGATGAGTTGAAACATTTGAATGATCTTTACAAATTAGGAATCAAGTGTCTTGAAAATGTGAAGGATGCCGAGGAGGCTCGTAATGCCCAATTATGTGAAAAGAAGAGGCTCACTGATTTAACCTTATGTTGGAGTAACACTTATTCGAGGAACATCAATTTAGATGAGAACGTGCTCGACAACCTTCATCCACCAAAATTTCTAAAGAATCTGAAGATAGAGAGATACATGGGTGCAAGATCTGCAATATGGATGAAAAATGTCAATCTGCTCTCCAATATAAAGAAAGTTGAGGAAATCGAATTGTTAGATTGCAAGGAATGGGAAACTCTTCCACCTTTTGGGCAACTTCCCTTTCTCAAGATACTGATACTTTATAACCTGCCGAAAGTAAAATGGCTCGAAAGTAAATTTAATGGGAATGATAAATACCGTGCCTTTCCATTGCTAGAGGTGTTACATATTGGAGGATTAGAAGCATTAGAGGATTGGTTTGAGGCAGGAGTAGCTGCTGAAGATGGATGTTTCTTTCCTTGCTTAATTAATCTGGTGCTAGATAGGTGCTCGAAGTTGAAAGAGTTGCCCTCTTTGCCTCCTAAGCTCAAGAGCTTGTGCATAGGAATGATGGGGTGGAAGACTTTGAACTTTGGTTGCAATTCAAATTCTATTCCCCTTGAAAAATTAGCGGTCTTTGACTGCCCAAACATTACATCTCTTCCTCTGGCTGATGAAATAGCAAGACTTGCAGCACTAAGATTCTTGACAATTAGAAATTGCCCCAATCTGATCTCTCTGGGAAGATATCGAGAAGTGGAGACCGCTAATAATTGTCATCTCATACTCAATAATCTCTGGATAAGTGATCCATCGGTGTTGCTAATGGA